TGGTGCGTAACAGATGTAGGCACATGCTATAATTGATTTTTATAGTATTATTAGTTCCTGCTCGCGGCTTCGCTCGTGTGATAACTGGGGCGGTGATCAAGTATTATTTTTTATATCAAAAATTATTTGTAAGAAGATCTAATAAATAATAAAGAAGTTTTACAGACCCTCCAAAATAAATGGATGTCAATAATAGAAGTTAACGTATTACGTATATCTATATATGTATTTATTTAGTGGTCGTGGCGTCTAACACTTACTATTTCTACCCCGCAAATAAAAAAATAATCAACAATTAATTATTTCCCATCACAAAAATTGCTTTTTTGCTCAAAATTTTAAAATAATATAATGATTATAATTTTGCATCAAAATTTAATGATTATCATCATAAAATTTAGGCAGTCTTTGCAAACAATCCATTTCAATAAAATTTAACTGGTCACGTTGAATAGTAAATTTACTAATTCCCTTCAGAATTTAATATCTCGATGTATTGTGGCATTCATGATCACGAATGGTGTTAGCATAGCAGTAATTGCGTCCGTGCGATATTGGATTCAGTTTGTTTAATGACTAATGATTATAATTTTAAATGAATTAAATTAAAGCTTTTACGTCCTATCATATTTTATTTATGTACTATTTTATATTTGATTTATTACTATTCAGTATATTTAGAAATTCGAACCCATTTCTTCATTAAAAAACCGGATAAGTGCGAGTTGGACTCGCGCACGAAGGGGTTCCGTACCATTATCTATAAAAACGGCAAAAATGTGTTGCATGGGACCCCCCTTATATACTTATTTTATTCAGTTTTTTAGTATTTGTTGTTATAGCAGCAACAAAAATACATAATTTCAACTATCTTCCTATCGCGGTTCATGAGATAAAACCTGGTGACAGACGGACAGACAGACAGAGATACGGACGGATAGCGGAGTCTTAGTAATAGGGTCCCGTTTTACCCTTTGGGTACGGAACTCTAATAACAGAGTAGCATACTTTTATATAATCGATAGATATAATAAAATAGTAACTAATGCGAAGTCTATACCTGATACATTTATTAAAACAATGACTGTAACGTGTCATGTAGAGAGTATAGACCCCAGAATAGTTAATGATTTTTTTGTCTGTTTGTCCGTTTGTGTGTTATCTAGTTGTCTGTATATCGGTATTTATTTCACGCAAAAAGTACTGAATTGATCTTATGTAAATTTTGAGCTGACATCTAGAGAGATTTTGAGCTGACATTTAGAAAACCTTTTACTACAGTAAAATCTCATCCCCATGGTAATATACAACAAGTGGTTCCGCGGAGTTGTCGTTCATATTAATATTTCAATGATTTATTACACAAAACTATTAGAAGCAGGGTTAAAAATTAACATATTTCATAATTAAGTTCAGTAAAATATCTCATTTTCATGGAAAAATGCCATATTTAGTTCGAAAGCACGTTGCTAGATAGTATACTAGTATCTACACATACTTGTGGTATACAACAAAGTCCCTGTACGTCTCTGTCGGTTTCTCCGCATACTTCTTAGTAAAAACCACATAACGTATATGATTATACAGGCTTCACAAATAGAAAGGGGTATAAACGAAGAAAATTTCTGCATATAATCTATATATGTTTGTCTGTTTATCTGTTTGCCTGTTTATCTGTGCGTTTGTTCACGCTAATCTCAGAAACGGCTTATCCGATTTAGATGTAGTTTTTACTAATATATTGGGTAAGCTTAACTTAATATTTAGCGTTTGTTTCATGCCAATTGGTTCATAAATAAACAAGTTATGTCAATTTAAAGAATCACGTCGAACATTTGTTAAACTGAAAAATGAACAGTTCCCGTGGGGTAAATCTGTTTGTGCTTTTCTAGAGGTGAAACTGAGTGAAGTGATAGTGAGCCGCTAGTTTATAAATATTTTTTACAAAAAGGCTGAACTATGACGGTGTTTTATCAGAAAAACTGTTTTGTACGCTTAAATATTATATAGGTAACGCTATCTGTACTAAAAAATGGTAGGTCTCAAAACGAGCTATAGAAAATATATAAGCGCCTCATTATACTTGAGTACTTAAAAACCTAAGGACATATTTGAGCGGACCGTGAGTTTAATTACTTTAGAAATGGTGTTTTTATTGTGGTATTGACATAATTGATTAATAAATGCAATCAGATTTTAATGTTAAGCTTGCCACGTATTTCACAGCGTTCTGAAAATTTCGGGATCGGCGATATTCAATTTTTATTGTACACTGAATAAAAATAAAATACTAGCGTTTTGCTGCAACTCCGCCCGTATAGCACATTAATCACCAATATATCATATACTAAAATCTTCTCCGAAACACGCTGCTTCTTATGGTATGAGTATCATTCCGATGGGTTCAGTAGTTATCGCAGTATAACCGAACAAAAAAATCGGCTCTCCATTTATTAGTACAGATTTAGTTTTACTAAAAACTATTTTCCTGATAGTTGAAAGTTACATAATATATGATTGTAAAACAGTACCATTAACTAGCTTTAGCAAATTAATAACTTATTTCAAAATCAATACTACTTCTTTAATTAGCGCGAACAAGAATTTTATAATCTGTACATAAAATAAAATTCTAACTGAGTCGAGTCTGTACAATAAATATTTTTTGGAAAATTTTATTAAAATAGTCATTTTTATCGATATAGAGGCTGCATTTATCGTTTTTAGAATTTTTGTCAGTCTGTCTGGGAACGCATCTCCAGAAAACCATGGACAGGTTTTGATAAAATTTGAAATGATAATAGCTGATTATCCTTGTCAACATATAAGAACCTTACTTTTTACTGCAGGAAAATATCTTATCTCTGAGAAATCCACACTAAACTTAAAAACGTATGTGTATTTGAAATTTTACTCACTCTCATTTCGCTCGAGTTCTTCCCTAGTTATACATATTTGCTTACAAACTAACATCAAAGCAAAGTAATAAATAAATAATAAAAGAATTAAAAGTGAAATGCGAAAGCCGCGTTAAAAATTTCTCACTCGCACTACACGCGCTCGGAAAATGTTCGTTATGTAAACTCATCTCAGTTATCTCGTCACATATGATTGATGCTGTTCGCCGCATCCACAAAAGTTTTGAAACATCATGACATATTTTTGATGAAATATAGATAAATTTTCGTAGCGGGAGAAACATAAATTCTACAGTAGAATTTCAATGTTTTAATAAGACTTATTAGTGTACCAGCTTCTGCTGATGGTAAGCTCTACGTCCAACTAACGCGTTGTCGCTTTTATCCAGTTTTGATAAAACTTTTTGGTTTTAATCAATATTATTTACATTAGAAATATATTGCTAATATTTATGAAAATCAATTTAAAAATACTGAAAAGTATTTTTTTACATAAATTTTATACGTCTTAAATTATTATCGGTGTTATATGCATTAATTAACAAATTCACATCCCCTGGATTTGTATTAGAAAATACTAATATTCTAAAAGTATATTTCAATGACGATATCGATAATCAAAAAGAAAGGACTTTTGAATTTCAACCTCTAAAGTAAACTACTGAGATTTTCGTCAACTGTAGGTCGTAAAATCTATAAGAAAATTGGAAAGCCCAATGCCAGTATGCCGCCCAGATATGACTCTATATAAAATAATGTATGCATCTACCTCATTCACATACACAAATATGGAAAGAAAATGTTTGCTTTTATGCTTAAGTATTATATCAACATAATACGTCTATTGCTACAATCTGTATTTTATTACTATCGCCACGAAAATGCTAACGGCCCCGTACATCTCGACCTCGATGAAATAGAGTATAATATTTGGTACAATCTTTTGTCCCGCTCACACCTGCGTGATACTGGCTAGATTAGAAGAGAAAAGGGCGTAATTTTGTGCGTATACAATAAACGTTCTTATATCCAAATTGTAGGGATGGGTATAAAGGAGCAGGCCCTGCCAAAAAGAGCCTTGCGCGGTAGGCTCAATACGCCCGCCCGTATTCCCGGAAAATCTATTTTTAGACAGCTAATATACATTATGATATACGAATATGTTTGTATAAGTGTTTGTATCAAATCAGTATTTTAGTAGGCGTTTGATATAAAATTGTGATTAACGAGAGGTATTGAGAGGTTGTTCAAAGTATCTGGAAATAAATTTGTTTTTCTTACTGTTATTAACGTCTATATTAAAGCGTAAAAGTTATATAAATATCATTATTATACTCTTGATATTATACTTAAAATAAACATAGAAATGAATAATCTAAAAACTTAGCAAAGGAAGATTTAACTCGAAAATAAATTTGTCCTAACCAACCTATGGATGTCGAAGAAAATCTTAGCGGGTCCATATATTGCAAGAAATATAGGTATTATACGCATACGTTTTACCATACATATAATAAAATTCTGAGTCAAATCTGTACAATAATCATTATTTGGAAAATCTTATTGAAATAGTCATTATTATCGATAGAATGGCCGAATCTATAGTTTTCAGAATTTTTGTCTATCTGTCTGGGAACGCATCACGAGAAAACCACTGGACAGATTTTGATGAAATTTGGTATGATGATAGCTAGTTATTCGGGTCAAAATATAGGATACTTTTTACTTAAATAAATTAAAATATCACATCTCTGAGAAATCTATGCTAACAGTTAAAATGTGCCTAGGGACGAACCTAAGCGGAGCGAGGGTGAGTCGCTAGTCTAATTATATACATATATTTATAAATATATGTACTGTTTAAAAAGTTGAAAGTAATTCCTTGTGTAATCATTTCATATAAAAATTAAATTCACACCTAGTTTGTGTTTATTCGCGATAATCTCAGAAACTATTGTACAGATTTTCATAAGGTTTTCACCCATAGGACAGTCAAAAATTATAATTAACAAACATTTTGCGAAAATAATCTATCGATATAACCATATTTGTATATTAAGTTTGAAAAATTATTTGTTCTAGGTGCACTCGGGAGAAGCGAGGGTAAGCCACTATTAATAAGTGAACGACGCTATCCCTATATATAGACACCGGTGCCTGACCCATTAACACCTTTCGTAGACACGTCCAAGATGCCTGAAGCGTTCTGCTAATTTCTAGAGGCCTTACAAGCGATGAATCACTGTTTAGATAAGATTAATTTACTCAGAATTTAGGTAAGGTGTATATCTATCAATCCATATATAATACCACAGTTCTTGGTATATATTTAATTTCTAAAAATTATGGACAGATGTTAACTGATGCATTATATTCACGCGTAAAATTAAGATTCTAAATGGATTGAATCTGTAAACTTCTTTGAGGTACAAAATAATAACAATAAAACTCATTGAAGAATCTAATAGTAAAGTCATTAACAGGCGGTGAGTGTTTGCTATACAGAACTCGTGTACTATACAGTCTTATAAGGGATCACGGTGTTTCGTGTGTACTAGGTCCTTCTCAGGATCTCAAACTATCTTCTTACCAAATTTTATCTAAATCTGTTCAGTAGATCCAGAGATTACCCCCTACAACGTCGCAAACTCACAAACTTTACCTCTTTTTAATATTAGTATAGACTTACAATAAACAAAAGAATTACATAATTATAAATAAATTCTTAAATCGTAAATAACTTAATTAAAATTTGGTAAATAATGAACAAAATTATAACAGATAATTTGTTTTGGAACCTACCTGTACTAGGTTACAACCTGTTTCAGGTTTTAATTTTACCATGCATTTCTCACTGTAACCAAGGTTTGGAACAAATCGATTTTGAAAGTTACATATACACACTACTAACTCATACGCATAAAACAAAAAGTATGAAACTTCCATTACTAACTAGACTTACATCGATGTAAGTACTCGTATATATATAAAAGTTGTATTTAAAGTTATTTTTATATTTCTAGCATAATTTTTGTGCCCTTGTAATTGAAGTTTTATATTAAAATTTCATAAAATTATCTAACATTCTAGACAAAAATTTAAATTCAACGTACAATTGCCATTGTGCTCAATTAATATTATTATAAAGTTACAGAGAACGCTCAGAAATTTCAATTGCATATTAGCAAAGCGGAAATGCTAAAAATGTTTTCGGTATTTTTACGTTAACTCTTTATGGGAAACATTCTTTAGTGTAAGGTAGAAGACTCATGACGTTCAGTAAAAAATTGTAATAATTTAATGCTGAATAAAATAATTTGAATTTGAGAGTAAAATATATGATAATATGATAATGGTATCGTTAAAATGAATTATTTGAATTCTTATATACAAAACTTATTTTGTTTTATTATGTGTTCATTAATTTTACACTTTTCACAATTAAATTTTGCCGCTCAAAATATCTATCAATTTTTTTTCAGATGTGCACGTTTTTACATCTTGTTTTAAATAAAACTATCTTGTCGGGTATTTTCGCAGATTTATTTGGATTTTTGGTCTCCGACATTAGGAATGTTTTAAAAAAATCTAATTAAATCAACAACATAGTTTTATTTTATAACTAGCAGAACCCGCGGCTTTGCTAGCGTTAAAACTACAAAAAAGTCTCTAAAAATGTAGTTTCATACAAAGTTTCTTCCCCTATTTTACTCCCTTATATGATGAAATTCGAAAAATGCTAAAATACGTATTCATTTTATTTTATTGAAAGGCATAAGTACCAAGTTTCATGTAATTCTGATCGTAAATATTTTTTGAATTATAATTATATTAGAATTATAACGTCTTTTCACGTGGGAATTAGATAATGTCCCGTGTCACTATCCGACTATAGCCCTCCAACTATCTCCATACAAAAAAATCATGCCAATCCGTCACTCCGTTTCGACGTGAAAGACGGACAAACAAACAAATAAACAAACACACTTTCATATTTATAATATCAGTATGGATGTCAAATATTCGCGCAAATTTAAGAATTTTTTACTTCTAGTTATAATAAATTTTATATTTTTAAAAACAATCCTCATGTACTAAAGCTCTAATTTTTTTATAAAAAAAAAATTAAAACGTGCTGTGTGCTGATTCAATATTTTATTTTTTTCTATTATGTAATTAAAAAAGTTTATGTATTATTCTTTTTGAGTTACCCATTTGTAAATAAATAAGTTGAGAATGCTTTAAAAATAGTTAAAATTGAAACAAAAATCATTACATATTATCAAAACAGAAATGAATTTATTTTTGGAAAAGAGAAAAAGGCTATTTTTGGAAAAGAGAAAAAGGAAGGTTTTGATTGTCTAATTGTATTAATATCCTTTGATTATTTTATTTTAATAGTAGCGCCTCACTCTCGCTTCGCTTGGGCTCGCCTCTAGACATACAAAATAAAATCTATCCCACAGGAACCGTACATTTTTCCGGGATAAAAAGTAGCCTATTTGTTATTCTCAAGTATGAACTACATTAGTTACATAAGTTTCATTAAAATCCAATCAGTAGTTATCGTGTACTAAGCTTGTATAAGTTACTATAGTTTTTTAACTATCCCACGAGAATTCTTTCATTTGCCGGGATGAAAAGTATTTAAAATATTGACCGGAGATATAAGGTACCACTGTGCAAAATTTTATTTAAATCGTTTTAACAGTTTCGGAGATTAACCCGTACAAACAGACAAACAGACAGAGAAACAAAAAAACTGAAATAAAACTGGATTTGTTCTGTCTCTTCATACATTTCCTTTACTCCGTTTTTAGCACTTTTTTCTATGTACAGATATTCGACCTCTGTAGTTTCATTATATTTATAGATAAAAAACAATCATTATAATTTATAGGAAACTATTATAAAGTTATAAGCAGTAATTGGAACGTTTTGTGGATATTTCATGACATCTGAAAGATATAACTCCTAGCTTTCATACTCCCACATAACCAAATAACGTGGGCGTTTGAAAACTCCCATTCATCCCATTATAGTATTCAGCTTTTTTTAACGACCTACTGGTGGGCAAGATCCTCCCTTCAATACTTCAATATGAGGACGATAAGTCCATAATCCACTACGTAGGCACAGTCTGATTTGGCGGACTTCACAATTCACTTCAAATTCAAATGTCTTTCAAAAACTTGCTACGATCTCTCCAGACATGTAGGTGGTAATCATGTAGAAAATGCTGCATGTGCGACATAATTACATCAGAAATGTGAGACCGGGATTCAAAACTATCATAATCATCCACTAGTTCAAGAGAAATAAATAATTTACAAAGTCATTAAGTATAAATATTCCAAGGGAGCTTTTTTAATAAAAATAACACTATCGCCCAATGCGTGTAGAACTTTTTTCATATACAGGCCTGAAGGTTTTTATAACATTTGCACATGTTAAAGTTTTCTTTTAGATGCCCGTATCAGGTTTTATGTTTAACTTGCGCAAAGTTGGGTATTGAAAAGAGAGAAAATATTAAACTTTTCAAGGAATGTGACGATGGCTTTATGGCTTTATCTTTATTCGAGTTCCTTTCTTTGTTACGAAAACCTATGTGAGTAATATAACAATTTATGCTAGTTTACTTTTTAATATAGAAACAATATTGTTCGAACATTTAATTATAAAAAAAATGTAAGGAAATGTAATTTATGATTAAAATAAATATGAAAAATATTATATTAGGATAAATAAGAAGAAAACATTTTGACCATTTGATTTGACACATTGACACAGCCAGAAAATAGGTACTAAGCCACACTAAACTGACACGTAAAAGTGGATCTCTGGAATGTCATTACAAAAATACAAGCTACCAACGTTCTTTTAATAGATGACCCAAACCAAGACCAGTAGCGCTTATTCCTATTATCGCGAACTGATTAAAAAATTAGCTCATCGCTGTAATAGATTTGAGATGAAAAAAATTTCAGCAGGTGCAAAAAATGCCTCGTGGACTCATAATTATAGTGAAGAGTTGTACAACACCACCAGGCAACAAATGTAATGAAATTTTATGCTAGGAAACCACTTAAAAATATGGAAAGAAATTTGCTGTGTAACTTGGAAGAACATCTTGCAAGATGATAATTATGTTCATTTTCTAGAGCTCTTAAATCGTTAGCAATCTGTACCGGAGAAAGAATTCTTATATTCCAGCATAGCTTGGAAGAAATTAGCACAGCGCAGGAAACTTAAAAGTGGCAAATCGCCGGGGATTATGTTGGTCGAGGTGCTCTAGCCACTTTTTGATAATATGGTACTTGGAACGCATTTCAACTGAATGAGAAACTTACACTTACTTAGCTTTCTGTCTTAATTTCTCTGCATCAACCATACAAACACTGTAAGGATTCTAATTGATCAGTGTGGAGAATGAAAAATATCCCATTTTCGATTTTGAGAAAATATTTGACATCCGTGCTGTTCGGCTTTGTGATCAAGTCTAGAACGTCGAGAAATTCCTGCCAAAATAGTAAGGATTATTCGCGATCTATACACCGATAGCTCTTGCCGGGTTGTTCACAATGGACCATTGAGTACCGTTGTTGAAATAAAGTCTAAAACGTCGTAACGTAAAGTCTAAGCAGGAACGTCTCCTGTCGCCTTTGCTATTCATAATACTCATCAACGATATGATTCGTCCAGATACCATGGATTAATAGGCAACTTGAAGATCTTGACTATGTCAAATCAGCTTTAACACAATACGTCCAAATTACTTAAATTAGATTTAAAACATGAAACATCCGTAATTGGTTGGCGGAAAAATGCTAAAAAAGGTGGGGATGAGAATAAGCTATTGGGCTTCGAAACTAGTGTATCTAGTGAATCAGTTGATCAACCAAGTAAAACAAGTTTATTTCCTCAGAAACTGATGTAGAAAATAAAATTTAAGAAGTCAAAACTGCTTTTGCGGGTGAAAGCTCTTGTAAAATCTCTCTTTAAAAATAAAAGTCATTTTAAACTAGCTTTACTCTACTTGTGCTGTCAAAGGTGGACAAACTTTTAATTGCATATTTCAATATTAATGAATCGTCAAGTCAAAT